CATAATGTATACATGTGTATATGTGTATATGTGTGTGGTCTGTCTGTATGTGTCTGTGTGTGTGTCTGTGTGTGTATGTATGTGTATATGTATGTTTTAAAGTAAAAAAAGGTAAAAGTGTGTATATGTATATATGTGTGTGGTCTGTCTGTCTGTCTGTGTGTGTGTGTGTATGTGTGTGTATATGTATGTTTTAAAAGTAAAAAAAAAGTGAAAAAGTGTGTATATGTGTATATGTGAACGGTCTACCTGTCTATCTGTGTCTGTGTCTGTGTGTGTGTGTGTGTGTGTGTGTGTGTATGTGTATGTTTTAAAAGTAAAAAAAAAGAGTAAAAGTAAAAGTTAGCTTTATATATTTACAAAAGTGATGAAAATTTTTATTCTTTTACTAGAGAGAAATTTTAAAAATTTTCAAAATATTTATCCAATTAACTTTTGTTATTTTCGTAAAATAAAATGCAAATATTTAAATAATCGATATAAAATTTAAAATTAAAATTCTTTCCACAATATTTAAATATATTTAATAAATAAACTATATTTTATTTAATATTATCTAATATTTTTTAATGATTTTACTTGAATACTATTTGAGATAAATATTTTTGTATTTAAAAACAGTTAATAAATTGGATTATTTAAAAATATTTAAATAATATTCCTTACTTGAAAATTTGCATATAATATTGTAATAATAAATTACCCCAAATATTATTTTTCCACGATATTTCCTTACCGCAGGTGAGAAACTTTTATGCTCTGATGAGATTACAAACTATACCGATGTTAGCATATGTGTCACTGGTATAGTCGCCAAATGCTGGAATGGTGTCAACTGAAGGGTCAGGATAAAGTATGTTCATGCGCAGGATGAACACGTTTATCTTCGGGTAACTAACCTAGAAGAAGGATAACTCTAATTCCAATCCCGAACAAATTGAGCGCATTTAATCCTGTAAGGCTATTCATCCATCGCAGAGATGGATATTCGAACAAAGCTTATGTCTTGATCATTTCACTGTTACCGTCATATTTTAATAGATGTTGACAGATGAATCTTAGATGGAGACAGCTTCATGTATACATCGTAGGCTCGAAGAATATGCTAACATTTGTAGGAAGCGATGATGAAATTACTCAAATATTCGAAATTATTCATACTGTAATACTAAATTAATTAATACAATTAATATCTTTTCATTTATCAATACTTGTAGGAATGAAACAAAATAGATCTTTTGAACAGAAAAAAAAGAAAAAAAAGTTGGAAGTGAAAAAATTATATATGGAATGATTGTAATTGTTCCAGTTTTCCGGATTTTAACCGGATTTCCAGTTTGATAAAGTTCAATTAGTTTCATTAATCAATCAATTATGATTTAAACTTTTTCTTCTTTATCAATTTATCACAGTCTAGTGTAGGGTTAACTTTTTTGCTTCATTAATGCCACTTTACTTGATCAAAAATGTACATTAGCACAATCTTCATACCATTATGTAACATATCATATCATTCCCAATCATTGAGCTTTGCTAAGTGAACATCAGTTCCCGTGGGTAATGTAGTTTTTATACGAGATTCATGGGTTACCATTTTTATAAGATGTGACATTGGTCTATCAATGTTGACCTGTCACAGAAACGCCTATCGTGACATCCAGTGAAATATAATTGGTCAGTAAAGTATAAAAATGAATAAATTAAACATAATTAATTGTAAAAAAAGATTGATACCTATGCAGTTAATAAATTAGATGATAAAAGAAATTGTAAATAAAGTTTGATTTGAATATCATAAATATTATGTAAGTTATGATCAATCTTCATCGATTGTTTTTATAACCTTTGACATTCTTATTTGTGCATATTAAAGATTAGTTAAAGAACTTAACTTTTTATAATTAGATGAGAGGAGGAGTTGCGAGAAATTAACGCAAACATGTTACAGTAACAATAAATGAAGAACAAAACAAGCAACTTCTTATCCACTAATGAAGCTAATTAGAGAAATTAATTTAATCATCAAATATTGAAAATGTTAAATATTTAAGCTTAATAATATATCATCATTTGCAGACGAAGTAAGAAATAAAACTATTGAAGAAATGAAAATTTTGCAAAAATTAAATTAACGCAAAATTTATTGAAGAAACTTGAAAAAGTAAGAAATTTTCTTTTTTTTTGAAAAAATTAATATAATAAGCATTGAAATTATCGAAACAATTATTACTAAATAATGATAATAATTGGTAACAAGAATGATTGTAATAGCTAATAATTATAATGATAATGATGATGATGATAATTATTAACATAATATATATTAATATATAATTATGGTGATGAATGTTAATAGTTTAATGAATTACAATGATAATGATGATGATGGCAATTATTAATATAAATAATATATAATTATGATGATGAATGATAATAATTTAATGAATTACAGTGATAATGATAATGATGGTAATTATTAATATAAATAATATATAATTTATAGTGATGAATGTTAATAGTTTAATGAATTGTAATGATAATGATGATGATGATAATTATTAACATAATATATATTAATATATAATTATGGTGATGAATGTTAATAGTTTAATGAATTACAATGATAATGATGATGATGGCAATTATTAATATAAATAATATATAATTATGATGATGAATGATAATAATTTAATGATTGGAGAAGATTGAAGAAAGTGTAGAAACGATTATTTGTTTAGAATATTCTTTTTTTTTTTTTCAATAATTTCTTTCAGTGTTTGTTATCGTAATTTTTATTCAAAAAGAAAGAAATTTTTTATTTTTTCAATAAATGCTAAAATTTTGAAAATTTTAGATTAAAAAAATTAATTTATACAAAAAAAAGACAAAAGAAGGGATAATTTGTGGTTTGTTTAATTTATTCAATTTATTGTCGAATAAATTAAACAAAAAAGAAATAACTGATAAGATGACGACAGAAGAAAGAATAATTGTTTACGACAAAACAATGTAACACTATCTCTCTCTCTCTCTCCCTCTTTTCTCTCTCTACAAGCATTTATGATCATTTAAAAAAAAGAAAAATTAAATATGAACAAAAGAAGAAACTTGCTTACTTGATTGTTTAATAAAACCTGTTATCTGTGATATATTGAAATGTCGTCAAAAATTTACAGTAAATTTTTCTTTTTTTTTCCTCAACCAAATGAATGGAATAAATTTGAGAAATTATCAGTGGATTATTTCATCTTTAGGTTTATCATTTATTTGTAATCTCACTTTTAGACTTATCATTTAATGGCAATAAATTATACTCATTCTATTCAACAAATTTTCTTCTCATTTCATTTTC